CACAGTAAGGGATCCACCAACCCACGCGACTCCAACGATTCCACCGACTCCGACGTACGCAGCGACCTTCCCAACCCATTCAATCTGCAAGACGCAGGCAATGACGACGAGGACACGCAGCCTAGCAGCAGGGGGGATGACGACCTGGAGCTGTGGTCCAGCTTCATCCGCAGAAGCACACGGAGGGCGGAATCATTCATGCTCATGCACGATGTACCAGACGTATTGAATATACATCGTAGAATGGTATGGCGATGGGCGAAGACGGTGTCTCACCATCTCACGACTCGCTGGACCTGGAGAGTGCTGGAATGGAACCCGAATCTCAATGCACGCCAGCGCGGACGACGGCAGCAAGGGGGACAGCCAAAGCGGTGGGACGACGATATCCGAAGTTTCCTGCACAGTCTGGACAGCGAGGCCGTAGAGGAACAGAACAGGGCAGCCACCCAACCGCGACAATACGAGCACAACAACACGAACGACCTACGATGGATCCGGGCCGCTTGCTGCACAGAGTGGTGGACATCCTGTGAGCGGGCATACGTTTCATAAGCTTGGATATCTGGGTGGTCTTCTTTGTGGAGGCCACGGCCTCCACGCCATGCCCTACTAGGCACGGGCGGGCTCCCCGGTGGAGCGCGCACGACTCCGGCGTTCGCTTCGCTTCGCTTCACTTCCCTAGAGACCCCGACCCCTTCACCAGGGGTAGCGTCTCGTCCCAGATCCATTTTTGATCGCCCTGGTGCCCGATACTGGGTCCCAGAGGTCGGGGGCGGCCAAGAGGGGGGTGATGACAAGGGTGTGGTGGATATTATGCCAGATGTCATGTACCCCTCTCTTTTTTCAATACGTCCTCCGGTCCCCCCTCGTCCGCGCACATGCCCCGGGCCATGATTTGAGGGGCTCCCTTCTTGGACGCCCCGAAGAGGCCGACCCCTTGGAAATATTTCGGGATCGAGCAAACCACATCGTTGGTGGCAGACCTGCGCAGCCCCCAGGTTCCCAGTCTCCCAAATTAGGTCCGAGGAGATGGGGTCGGAGGATCGCACCGCATCGACGGTGCATCGCCGATGCGGCTCGATGTGGAGCCCGATTTTCTCGGCGCCGGCGTCGCCAATACACCGCCGACATTGCCGATGCATCGGCGATACGGCGCGATCCCTCGACCCCATTTGGGATGCCTCGTCAGGTGCCCATCGCTGGCGTGGCTGGCCTGCTGCAGACAGACCCGCTCTGCCTGCTGTTGGTGGCCGCGGCGTCCAGCGCGGCCCTGCTCCTCGAGCTCGCCGGCGCGCTGAGGCCGTGGCCGCTTGGCCACCGTCGTCGTCGCCACACCCGCCGTCGCCGCCGCCGTCGCCCCAGGGGCTGGTCAGGGCGTCGCCGTCGTCTCCGTCGTCGTCGTCGTCGTCGTCGTCGTCGTCGTCGTCGTCGTCGTCGTCGTCGTCGTCGTGGTCGTCGTCGTCGTGGTCGCCCCAGCCAGTCCCTGGGGCGGCCTCCAGCTGCGCACCCTGCGCCAGCCCTGGCCACGCCAGTCCTGGACCAAGCGCAGCTGTATACATCCCCCCTGGACTCGGCTGGGAAATCTTATGCACGGATGCTGCCCCAGGCTGGCGTCGGTGCACAGTTGACACGAGGCTGAAGAGCCGCCATCGTTTTGGAGGGGGTCCCTTCTGTTCTTCGTGCCTGATCTCTTCACCGTGGCATGCCCTTCCTCGTGAGTGTCCCCCATTGGACCTAGGACCTTCGGCGAAGGCGCTTGTCTTCTGAGCCTGCGCTGGTGTGTCCTCTCCCCAGACCAGACGCCTGGCATCCGTGGTCGTCGTGTAAAGCTCGCGGCGGGGACCTCCTGCGCCGCTTTCGGCTCCTCTGTTCAAAGGACCAGATTTCGATGGTTGTCTCGTCTTGTGCTCGTATTTTTTGAGGGTGAAGGTTTGGGAGGCGCTCGGGCTATCCGTAAGGGCTTCGCCCCCTGCCGCCGGCCCCCTCTCCTCGGATAGTGGGCAATGCAAAAGCGAAACCATGAGGCCTTGGCGCGGCCGTGAAGAAGCGTCGGGACTTCACGCGAAGACGATGAGTCATCGGCAAGACAAATTGAGATTCTGATGATATTGTTGAATTCGGTATTGCATTTCGAGCTTGCTCGCGTATGCTGTGCCAGAACCTTTTCTATGAAGTATTGAAATGTTGCAAAGCCCATGTGTTTTTTGACCCTGACCCCGGCGATCTACATGAGGGGTGCCACCGAATTTCAAGACATGTGGCAAATCCCATGTGTTTTTGGACCCTGACCCCGCCAATCTGCATGAGGAGTGCCACCGAATTTTGGGGCATGTGGCAAATCCCATGTGATTTTTCGACCCTGACCCCGGCGATCTACATGAGGGGTGCCACCGAATTTCAAGACATGTGGCAAATCCCATGTGTTTTTGGATCCTGACCCCGCCGATCTGCGTGAGGGAGTCCACCGAAATTCAAGACATGTGGCAAATCCCATGTGTTTTTTCGACCCTGACCCCGGCGATCTGCATGAGGGGTGCCGCCGAATTTCAGAAATGTGGCAAATCGTATGGGTTTTGTCGACCCTGACCCCGCCGATCTGCGTGAGGGAGACCACCGAAATTCAAGTTTAGAGGCACGGGTCACTGTCTCTCTCCAAGCAGGGGGCGGCGGGAGGTGGCGCCAGCCTAAACTGAACTCTCTATTTTCTGCCTGAACCGTGGACACGATGCCGCCGAGAGCGGCGGCAGAAGGTGACGGCGGGGTCTGCACCACAAAAATTTTTCAGAGATTTGAAGCAGACCCCGTATCAGGTCCCCACAGATCTGTGACGAGGTAAGTGAACGGGGAGCGAAAGAGGGAAGGGAGGGAGGGAGAACTTGAGCGGAGAACACAAACATAACGTGTTATGTCAGAACGGCGCCACCTGACTTTGCGCCGCCCCCGCCCTCCCCGCCCACCGACCACTTAACAGACGGGGGAGGGGGAGGAGGAGAGAAGACCACGGCCCGAAAACTTCATTGTTTGCAACAATTCACATTTAGAGGCACGGGTCACTGTCTCTCTCCAAGCAGGGGGCGGCGGGAGGTGGCGCCAGCCTAAACTGAACTCTCTATGTTCTGCCTGAACCGTGGACACGATGCCGCCGAGAACGGCGGCAGAAGGTGACGGCGGGGTCTGCACCACAAAAAAAAATCAGAGATTTGAAGCAGACCCCGTATCAGGTCCCACACCACCGCATAGCTTGCATTAGCGCCTGGCTGTGGCGGTGCCTGGGCTGGGTGGGAGGGTTCGGGCGCCACCCACAGCCGTCATACATTCACTGCCTCGGCACAGCTCCAAAAAATCCGTAGATCATTCACAACACGAAATGGATCACTCACGAGCCTTTGCAGGCCGACAACTCTTCTTCTGAATTAGTCGGCTCCCGCGCTCCAGGATGTCTGGCGGGAGCGCGGCGCGGGCGGCCACCAGGGCGTGCGTCTTCATGTACCTGAGCACGCTCTTCTCTGAAGCCCACCGCCCGCGCCGCTGGATGGCCCACACCGTCCTGTAGCCCGTCGCCGCGTCGTGACTCGGCCCCGAGTGCCTGGCAGCATGCGGCGGGAAATGCTCGACACCGACGTCATCGCAGGCTCGCCTCAGCGCCCGGCGGTAGGCATCCCCCGAGCAGCTGAAGACTCGGTCCGAGGGGTCTCGCTCGGACTTCCTGCGCACGAGCATGTCGCTCACATGCCGACGGTCGATCAGCACGCCCTGCCTCACGCCCGTCGTGGTCCTCTCGCCCCGCTCGGTCGCCCCGAGTCGTAGAGCAACGATCTGCTCGCCCGCCTCGTCCACGTCGACCACGATGTCGGCCGCCCGCAGGGCGAACAGCTCCGCGAACCTGAGGTAGGCGTCCAGGGCGACCTCGGCGGCGTCGGCGGCCTCCACGCTCCCGGGCAACCTCATGGCCTCGTCCATCACGGCCCAGAACTCGAGAGGCTGGGGTCCCCCCTCTCCCGCAACGTGCAGTCGATGCCAGGCTCGAAGAGCTCGGTTGGACCTCGGCAGCCCCGTCGAAAGCTCAGGCCACACGTAGGCAAGCCCATGCACAACGAAATCTCCTCGATGCGGGCCCACCTCCTCATCCTCGACCAGGCGGTCCAAGTAGCAGAGGACGGAGTCGTCGATCTCCTCTCGGCTCATCATCGGCAGGTTCACCTCCAGCGCGAAGTTCAGGAAGCGCCGCACGTTGGGCACGTAGCAGCCCAGCGCCGTCTTGGTGGAGACCGAGAACGGCAGCAGGGCCAGCCCATGGGCGGCTCTCTCCCGCCGTTGCGCCCCCTGTGGGTGCGCGCCCTCCGCGTCGTTCCTGCGGTGGGTGTTGCTCATCTTGCGGTGCTGAGCGTGGTGCCGAAGCCTCTCTTCACCGACAGCGTCCGATAGAACAGGTAGCAGCAGCCAACCCAGAAGCACGGGCCACCGCGGGCAACTGGACCGGCACGCGGTCCCAGCCGACGGCTGCTCATCATCCGCATCGGGCTCCCCGGGACGTGGCGATCGTCGATGGTCGGGCGCCTGGTCACCAAGTCGAACCCGAAACATCGCACGAAGATCTTCCAGCTCCGTCCAGTGTTCCTGTTGGAGCCGCTGCCTCTCCGTCGGGGTCGCCTCTCGAAAACTCGCGACGAAGCGATCCCGTTGATCTTGCGTCTGCCTCCAGGCGCTGCGGCAAAGATCTCTGATGATGTCGGTGATCGTGTGACGAGGGAGCCCGCCGATGAGTAGTCGCCTCAGGGCCTGATTGGAACCGCTCAGAAGTACATCCGTCATGAAGGCCACGCACCACTCCTGCCATTCAGTACCGTCGGTGGCCCGCTGCGTGAGGTCGCTGTACCACTGCTGCGCCCAATCCTGTAGATCTTGCATCATGTCTGCGTGATCTTGCACCGCTTGCGCTCGAACATCGTCGGGCACGGGCGGAGGCCAGCCCATCGCACATGGGCTTCCATCCCCAGTCAGCCCGAGGCTCGAAGGAAAGCTGCAGGTAATGACTCCAGCAACGTAGCGCCCCGGCGCCTGCGCCCCAGGGTCTCTGAGATCAACTGCTCCACGGCCCTCTCGGTCAGGTCGGCCTCCCGTCTCTCCTGCATGGTCAGCATCGCGTCCACGTGGCACTCCGCCAACGCCCTGCTGAAGTCGGAAGAGTACGCCTGGGCCACCCTTGTCCGAAAGCGACCGCTCTCGCCCTTGCCGCAGAGGCTCGCCGAGTGGTTCTCGTGCACGCAGGGGCGAACAAACCGCTGCATCCCGAAGGCCGCCCCCGTGAGCGTCGTCAGTTTCAGCGCGGGGCAGCCCCGCATACACTGCGGGAAGATCAATCGGTAGGCACCAAACTGGGCCTCCCAGTCCATCAGCTCCTTGGTCACGAAGATCGAAGGAAACGGCGGGCAACCCGGATCGGCAGGATGCTCGATGGATACCGAGCCGCCCTTGAGCCCGATCGCCTTCAGGATCCTCAAACTGCTCAGCAACTGCGCGTTCCCAAGCTTCACCTTCTTCGCGTCGCCCCCTCGCAGACCCGGCCGACCCCGCAGCTGATGTCGCAGACGTGGCGGAGGGGGGCCTCCAGGCTGGAAGCGAACCCGCGACCAAGTAGAGCATGAAGGGCCTGAGTGTCCCCCGTCCGTCTTCCGCCAGCAGCTCCAGCCCCCGCACGTTGACCTCGTCCGCCAGGTCGAACTCCGCCCCGAAGCCGATGTCCACGTCGCGAACCCGCGGTCCTGAGCAGCCAGTCCTCCAGGTCCCCGATGCGCGTGTGGCCGCTGCAGAGGTGGGCGAAGCGCAGCACCTCCACCGGGATCGAGACGCCCATCCTGAGCGGCTGGAAGGGGTCCACCTCCGCCAAGTCCGCCAGGGCCTCGATCCTCGAAGCCACCTTCTCCGGCAACGCCAGCTCGTCCGTCCTCCGCTCCTTCGGGGCCTGCCCAATCGGAAAACCTCGGCTCGGCCCGTCGCTGCGGTTGCGGCCCGACGGCACCCGGCGCCAGTACTCCCGCATGCCGCACCCGAGGTCGAGGGCGGCCATTCTCCTGCGCAAAATCAGAATGGACCGGCTGGCCGATCTGCCCTTGCCGAAGCCGCCGAGGCAGACCATCGAGTCCGTGATGCTTAAGTGCCTCTTCCCCCAGCTCGCCCGGGCGCGGGCCGAGTGCCTCGCCGCGGCCACCCCCGTGCGCATCTCCAGCAGGTTGATGTGCTCCTTCTCCTCCCAGCGCCAGCGTGCAACCTCCTTCCACCGAGCGATGTCGTCCCAGCACTCGTGCGCAGGCGGAACTCGGATCCGGGTACCCAACTCCACGTCGGCGCCCGCGCGTCTGAAGGCCTCCCCCTCGCACCGGGCGTCCGCAGCCCAGGACGAGGAAATGCCCGTCCAAGCGGTCCAGCCTCCTCGAACTGCATATCGTGCTTCTCGACGCTGCCCCTCCACCGTGGCCACCGTAGAGATGAGCGCACCACCGTAGAGGCTCGCGTCGAACATCGTCACCGTCGGGTCCCAGGGCGTCGAGAGGTCCACTGAGATCAGCGGCGCCAAGGCCGCAGCCGCAGCCAACTCCCTCAGCACTTCCCGTGGGACCTCGCGCCGAGGTCCACCCCGGAACTCCATGCACCATGCGTACACGTCCGCGAAGACGCTCAAATCACCACGGCAGATCAGGAAGCCCCAGGACAGGATGCCAACGATCCGCGCGACGGTGCCGGGTAGTTCCCACTTGTGGATCAGGATCTCCTGTATGCCGAAGACCGCCAACCACATCTTGTCCTGGTTCGGCGCCAGACGAGTTCCCCGAAGATCGCCACCGATCATGCGAGAGTCCGCCGCGCAAGAATCCTTGTGCACCTTGAAGCCCGCGGACACCGCCAACTCCTTGGCACCGAGCCAGATCTCCTCCACCGTCGTCGCCGCCTCCTGGCCAGGCCGCGTCGGGAAGTCCAGGCCCAGGATGCCAAAGTCGTCGATGTACTCGTAGTGCGCAGCAGGCAGATCCCGACTGAGATGGGGCAACGGCCCGCCTTCGGCCAAACGTTGGCCGTCTGACAGCGAAGAAAGCCCGAACTGAGGCCCAGTATTGCCTCAGCGTCACCTCGGGCTCGCCCCCCACCAGCTCCGCCTTCTCCACAACGCAAAAGAGCCCGACCTCGTCCACCTTCACTGCAGTGCGACACAACATCCCCGCCAAGGCCATCCTTCGGGCCAGCTGCAACATCTCCTTCTTCTTGCGGAAATGCGGGTCCACGTAGTTGCGTATCTCGCAGGCCTGAACACAAGCCTCGCCATCCTCTCTCAACATCTCCTCCTTGAGCATCTCCAATTTCTGTGCCACGCGAGGCGACGCAGACCTCACACTCACAGGCCTGGTCCCCGGAGGAGGTAGGGCGACTCGGTCCCATTGAGCTGGAAACGTCTCGCCCCTGTCCGGCAGCCGTCCACTTCCGCCAGCACTCCTCCTCCGAAGTTCGGCCACCCTCTGTTTGAAGGTGGACTGGGACTGATGGCCCGCCGCCGTGGCGGCAGGGCGCAGCCGCAAGAGCGCGGCTCCTTGTGAGGGCGCAGTCGACGGCGGCGACTGGCGACGAACTTCTCCCAGCACCCGCCGAGAAAGGTCCCCGTCCAAGTCGTCGGGCGCGATCCCCTGGCCCTAGCAGTCGGCCAGGCCCAGTAGACTGTCGTCCAGACTCCCGCGGTAGAGCTGACGCAACGCCAAGAGAGAACGGTTCGCCGTCTCCACCAGCTCCATCTCCTCCTTCCAGCGCGACAGCACCCGACGAGAAGTCGAAGCGGGGCGCTCCGGGCGAGCGAACAGCACCACCTCGGACAGAATGTCCCGCCGCCGAGACATGAAAGCCCAAATTCGTCGTGCAAAAGCTCACGGGCCAGCCGACAGCGATGATGCGAGTCAGCTGCAGCAGGAAGAATACACTAACCAAAACAAGCCAACGCGCAGGGACACCACGACGCCAGCTGCAAGGGCCCCCCGGCTCGAAACCGAGTAGCCCCAATTGAAGCTCCTCGACTCTCACGGCGGGGCCACCGCGCCCCCGTCCAGGTCGGAGCGCGCCTTCATCAGCTGCGCGTCGCGACCCATAGCCTTCTTCATCTCTTCCTCGGCGCTCATCACCCGAATCGTGCTCTCGTCGGCGAGCTGGGGGTCCAAGCGACGCGCCGCCTCCCAGTCCACCTTCGACTTCGAGTTCTTGGCATCCTTGGGGCGGCTCCAGTCGTCGCGGCTGTGCACGTTGCGGTAAGCCCCCACAATGGCGCAGCCCTTTCGCACGAACCGCTCGAAGCTCACCAGGTTGAGGAGTCCCCTTTGACGATCGGTCATCAGCATCGTGTCCACCGCGGCGAAAGCCGCGGTCATCTCCCGCGCCGTGTTGCAGTCGCTCAGGCCGCGGTCCCTGATGAAGTCCCTTGCCCAGGCCTCGGCCGTCTTTCCTGACGAGTAGATCTCCGACAGCACCTCGGCCGAGATCCGCTGGCGGTAACCCTCGGGCATGCGGCTGTTCCACTCCTCGGGCTCGATCTCCCTGTACTCGTCCAGCTGCTCCATGAACACCTGCTGCGGCAACTGAGCCTTGAAGCGCATCCGCTTGATGGCCAGCTCTACGGCCTCCGGCTGAGACGTGGCAACTCGCTTCTCGGGCGTCTCCATCAACGCTGTGGGGGCACTCTTCGTGGGCGACCCGAGCACGGCGACCGCCGAAGCCGAAGAACTCGCCCCCTCGATAGCAGCACCATGCTCGCCAGCTCCGGCCTCCGCAGGGGCCTCGCCCTTCAGACGAGCCTCGAACCGATCCAGCCGCGCAATCACGCCCTCGATCACCTGCTTGTTGGCCTCGGCGTCCGCGCGACCGCGCGAATCCAGGGAAGCTTCGAGTACGTCCCGACGTAACTCCCTCGTCCTCTCGGCGGTCCTGATCTCGCTGATCTCCTCCATCATGGCCTTCTGGGACTCCACGAGATCGTTCAGCTGGCTTGCCAAAGCAGCACTCTCTCCACTTGAAAGATAGCCAGGCGGCGGCAAGGGCGGAGGCACCGAAGCCGTCGAACCCACGGGCACATCCACACTCGAAGCGCTTGAGGACCCAATCGAAGACTCTCCATACTCCCCGCTGTCCGACCACTCGTGAGCCGCCCAGATGGTCAGAAGAATCAGGGCCAATAACATCGCAAACCAACGCTGAAGAGGCATCAGCTTCTGGGCCCACTCCTTCCACTCCCACAGGTAGGTGGCCCACTCCTGGACGACCTCCGAGCTCTCCACGAACGCATTCTTAGCCGTGACCAGGGAGCTGATCGTGTGCACCCAGACCTCCTTCATGTACTCGATCACGCCCAGCAGCCCCAGCAGCTCGTACAATACGAACAACGCGGCCAGCACACCCAAGAAACGCTCGGGACTCCTCAAAGACCACCTCAGCGTCTTGAATGACGAAGCCAACGGCATACAGGACGTTCACCGCGATCGCCTGCTGACCACCCTTGCCGGGGCGGTAAAGCGGCAACATCGGCACCGTCGACGCCCTCAACCCCTCCGTCGCCTGACTGACGTAGGCGCCCCTCTGGGCTGCAGAGAGAGGAGGCATCGGCCGCCGGCGAATCCCCGCCACAGGGTCCGTGAAGATGGACGTCTTCGCCGTGATGCAGATCAGGCCGAGGGTCAAGTCCGGGCCGATGACGGCCCACACATTGCCGCTCTTGCGGCGCACCAACTGCACCTCCACACCGTCGGTCGCACTCTGGCGGTAGAAGCGGCGAGACCATGGCTCCACTGGCATCTCTAGCTCGAGACCCCCGGCCTCGTCGGCTGAATCCTGCTCCACGATAGGGTCACTCACCAGGGAGAAAAACGACCGCACCAGGAGCCCGAACGGCCGCCACCCGAAGCGAGCCGTCTCGTCGGCGCTCTGCAGCGCACTCGCCGGCAGGTCCGGCACTTGCCAATCGTCGGAGCAC